TTTGGTAATCAGGACATTTAATAGTATGGAAGCCAAGGCTTATTATGTATCAAGAAATCTATATACTTTATAAAAAAGAAAATAAAAGCAAAAAAAATTATAAAAAAATTATAAAATGATTAAAGGCTATTAAATTTCAAGTTTTTAATTCAAGAAAATCTTTTTGACTATTATATAAGAATACATAGCACAAAAAAAAATTATAAATAAAATATATTGTTGAAGTATAGTAACAAAAATCCAAAAAGAAAAAATTTAAAAAAAAAAATTAAAAAATAAAATATTTAAGATTTTAAATTTTAGATAAAAAATTATAAATTTGAAAAAAAATAAATAAGAAATTATTTTAAAAAATAGAATTTATAAAAATAAAGAAAGAAGAAATTTAGATCTAAAGAAAATTTCTTGCTAAATAATGAGTTAAAAAGAAATAGAAGTATATAAAAATACAAAAAAAAAATTTTTATGAAAAAAAAAATAATAATTGATTAAGATTTTTTTAAAGAAATCAAGTTGTTTATAAAAAATTGAATTGTTAAAAAATAAAAATGTTCAAGTTTTAAATATATTTAAATAATAAAAAAAAAATTTAATAGCAATAAATTACTAGTTATGATATTTTCAATTCAAAGAATATTTATTTGAATTAATAATAGAACAAAGAGTTATTTTTAATATCATATCAAAAGTTAATAACTTTGATAGATATGTTTAATAGAGTAAAAACTTTTAATGAGATATAAAATATATACAGTATATGGTTGACAAAAATTCAATAAAGTAATCGGTTTAATTAGAAAGCAAGTAAAAATAAAATAAAATTAATTTTATATACATGATAAAAAAATTTAACTAATTCATAATTTGAAAAAAATTCGCTGAACTCGAAAATAAAAACAAAAAAGATGATTGCTAATCAACCATTGCTGTTAATGAATTGCGATTTATTATACCCAGTTAAAAACTTGCATAATTATTCATTGAGAATTAAGAAATTTTTGACTAGGATATACAGTATATACAAACATTCTCTTTATTATAATTGATCCTTTATTTTTTATCTGTGATTGATTGAACCTTTTTGTCGGGTCGTGATCAATCAACGATGTGATGTTCATCAGTAATTGATTTTTATCATTAGTGATTTTTTTGGGAGGTTATTTGGTTTTTTTTTTTTTTTTTTTTTTTTTTGTACAATAATTATTTATGTTGAAATTCAGAGAACAAAAGCTTAGAAACCGTATATCGACAGAAATTTATGATTTTGGGGTTTGTAGAAGAATTATGTAAATGTGTATATTGACAACCTATCGCTCAGCGTTTAGAAAATGAGAAATGCAAGAAAAAAAAAATATACAAAAAGGGAAAAAAGGAAATTTTGTTGGGTATTTTTTTAAAAAAAAAAGGGTTATTTAAGAAAAGAAAAAAAAAAAAAAAAAATAGCGATTTCAACCCTTACTGCGAATTTAAGGGTGAAAAAAATGTCATGTACTTAATTATTTTTTTTTTTGGAAAAAGGATTTTAAAATCATATCTCTTATGCAGTAAACCGTGTGCGTACCTAGAAAGGGAATATTCATAAGCTAAAAACGTAAAAGAAGTACCGATTCAAAAAAAAAAAAAAAAAAAAAATTGGTATGTCGCATAAGTGGAAAGCTTTCCGAACGAATTCGTATATAATATATATATATATATGTATGTATATATATAATCGTGAAGACAAAATATTTCACATCACAAAATCGCAAAAAAAAAAAAAAAAAAAAGAAACGAGAGAAATTGAAAGCATACACATATGGTACAGAAAAGATATGCACATATATCCAAAGTACGATTTCCGAGTACTGAATAGAAAAAAAAAAGGAGAGAGATAAGTAAGTGGATAAGATAACAATGCATAGAACATCAAATTCCACGTTAATCAGGAACCTACCTAATGAATATATATATATATATATAGTGGTCTGTATGACAACGATTTTCTTCATCGCATATACCCGTAACCATTGGTTACCCTGCCACGGTGCTACTTCCGTTAGACACGACATTTTGTTGAGTGGGAGAGTGCTGGGGTTGCCAGAGACTTATGTTGTGAGGCAAATCGGGCCGAGACCGGGTCTTCATCAGTTCACACAGGTCATCATAGACGCGATCTGAATCTTCTTCGTTGTTCGGGTAGCCGGGTCTCCCGTTATTGCTATTGTTGTGCTGGTAGGTTCGGCTGTTACGGTCCGAGGACGAGGATGAAGGGGGTGAAGGACTCGAGTGAGAATTTGTATTTCGGTAGTCGGGTCTAAAGCAAGGGTCAACCGACGAATCGGTGTTGGGACCAGGGGTCAAGACCAATCTTTGCGAATGTTCGGAACCGGGGCGACTCAAGGACAAAGTAGACGAAGAGGAACCGGCAGAGAAAAACGAACCGTTCCGGTCATCGTTCACTCCAAAGCCACTCTTACGACCGGAATCTTTGTGTCTTAGCCAGGGTTCATCACCCAGGACCTGCGAGTCGTCGTCATCTCGGGTAGAATTTCCGTAATGCGAATAATTTGAATTGGATGAACCAGCACCATTAGAATTATTTCCACCAAAGACTTGGCGTCCTTCATCATCGCTGATATCTTCTCCCTTCAACTTTGCATTTTCGGCTTCTAATCTACGAATGGTCTGTTGTAATGCATCATTTTCTTTTTGCAGGGTCTCCAACTGCTTTTTGACCGCATCCAAGTCCTTTGCTTTCGCCTCTAGATCCTTGATATACCTATCCTTACGTTGACGGAAAGCTCTCTGAGCAGCCCTGTTCTGAGCGGCCCGCTTAGAGTTCGTTAAGGGTCGGCTAGGATTTCTTCCGAGAACGCCGTTGTCCACACCTGAAAGTAACGGTTGAACGGCTTGACCTTGAGGTGGAGGAAGGACGGAAGAGTTTGTGGGAGACTGAATCCCGTGTTGACTTTGGAATCCAAGACGGTTCTTCTTTTCGTCCATTACATGTGCTGCTTGTTCCATTTTTTTTTAATTTATTTATTTTTTTTTTATTTTATTTATATTTATTTATATATTTTTTTATCGTTATTTGTTTTTTAAAGAGGTGAGTGGATGAAAAGAAAGTGTAAGTAAGACGATTAAACGATTGATAAGAGGAATTAAATTATGAAAAGCCAACGGTGGGAGTATTTCGTGCGAAAGTGTAATACGTAGAGATGTGGGGGGAGAAAACCGACAAAAAAAATCATAACAAACATATAGGAATGAGCCATCGGGAAAATGGAAGCATTTACGGGTAAGATGAACATGCATCGATCGTGCGGTTTTTATCCAAAAATTTTTAATTTCTTTGTTCATGAAGATCAATAGTGCATAAAAAATAAGTCGGGGATAGCCAAATCCAAAGCCACACGCAGTTATGGATGCGGAAACATCTTTTTTTGTTCACATGTAGAAAAAAAAAAAGAATCCGAGCACCCATCAAACTGAGATGGCTAGCTAGCTGACTCGTAGTAATTGGAGGAGGAAAAAAAAAAAGGGGGGGAGGGAGAGGAGGAAGAAAAGGAGAGAAAAGGAGAGAACGAGAGAGAAGGAAGGAAAGAAAAGAAAACTCCCCCAAAAAGGGATGGCAAAGAGGAAAACGGATGAACGAAGGAAACACATACTAACCATTCGTCGACTGATAGCTGGAGGCAAATGGAAAGCTGACCGAATTATTACTGGATCCGGGCTGAAAAATATTATTGAAATCTCGTTTATCCGCCGAAGGCCACTGCTGAGCAGCCGACGCGGCGGTCGATTGCGATGAAGCTTGTTGAAGGGGATGGGATACCATCTGCTGTTGGTGGTCGTTCATGGGTATTTGGGGGTGATGATAGTAAGGACTGCTACTCGTAGCGCTCGTCGTTGTACCATTGGCGTGAAGGGAGGAGGGTGAGGTGAAAGGCTGTCTGAACATAGCGGCCGGTGTGTACACTGAATTATAAGACATGGAAGACATGACGATAGGGGAGGACGGGTAAATGGGAGAGAGTGGGTTTTTTTTTTTTTTTTTTTTTTTGCGTTTATAATTTTTTTTTTTTTTTTTTAAAAAAAAAAAGGCAAAAAATCAATATATATACATATATATATATATATACGATATATATAGAAAAGAAGGAATAGCTTAAAAAAGTTTTTCAATAAAGAAGCAAAAAATTGTGTCGAATGCAACAAGAAATCTTAAATTTTTTCACAACTATATTGAACGATATGTATGCTCTTTTATATATATATATGTATATATATATATATAATTTTTTTTTTTTCAACAATATAATTGGTATAACTATTTTTTCTTATTTCTCACGACCGAGTCAGACATACTAAATTTATTAATCATAATTTATAAACTTTAATGAAAGAAACATCGACCAGTGCTTTCGTGTTATCACAAAACACTGTTTCCTTCTAGGTACTTCTGTGATATGATATTTAATGGTAAGATGACACAAGATGTTTCAAATATAGTAAAAAATTTACATGGTGTCACTGACAATTGTTAATGCTCTCCTAATTGTAAAACTTACATAAGTATATTACATAAAGTTCAAAAGATTGGGAATTACCAAAAGTCCTTAATGCAATTTCATTGTTTTCAAAAATTATTTGTTTGTTATTTCATAAGAATGCTTATCTCAAAAAATGTCAAAGAATGAAGCATTAAAAATTTACAGTGTTGTCTATTCATTAGCTGATCCACCAGAAAAAGTCTTTCATATCAATTGTTTAATCCAATTTGGAACAAAATAATGAATTAAATTAAATTCAAATTTGATTAGAGAACCATCATAATCAT